GATAGAAAAATCCTATCGGACTACACCGTCTCCTCCTCTCCTCATCCCTCCTCCTCCTGATCCCTCCCGCAGCCCGAATGCCTTGACCATGACGGGGAACCGCCGCTCGAGGATCTCAACGTCGGTGATCCTGGTGTTGGTCATGTGGGTATGGACTCCTCCTCTTCCGTCCCACGTTGGTCCTGCTCCTGCTCCTCCAGCTATCGTCTCGTAGTAGCCGAAGGAGGCGTCTCCGAAGGTGACGTTGTTCATGCAGCCCTGGGAGGCGGCGCAGTAGGAGAAAGCTTTGAGAATGACGTCGGTCACCCGCTGGGGAGGAAGACATAAGAGAAGGGGAGGAAGCGCGGAAAGGAGAGGATGAAGGAAAGGATGGGAGAAGGTAGACAGGAGATGAGATATAGGGAAGGGAAGGGGAGGGAGGGACGGGTAGAGAGTTAGGAAGGGAAGAAAGCAGGGAGGGAGAGAGAGAGGAAGGGAGGGAGCAAGCGAGCAAGCAGGGAGGAAGCGTTGGAGGAGGAGATAGTTGAAGTACCTGAGATGTGAGAACGTTTCCCCCTACAACAGCAGCAGAGTTGTCGGGAAAGAGAATGGAGGCCGGGGGGGATGGTAACAGTGATTGGAGCGAGGCAGCCTTGATTGAGGGGGATGTCTTTCCTTACCATGGCACGCAGACAGTAGATAATGGCAGAATATGTGACGGCACGAGGGGCGTTGCAGTTGCCGTAGACCTGTAGGAGAGGACAGGACAGGACAGGAGAGGACAGGACAGGAGAGGACAGGAGAGGACAGGAGAGGAGAGGACAGGAGAGGACAGGAGAGGAGAGGACAGGAGAGGAGAGGAGACCAGACCAGACCAGACCAGACCAGAGGAGGGGAGGGCAGCACAAGTGGCAGAAAGCAAAAGAGGAGGACAGAGGGGAAGATGAAAGGAGCAGATCGTCAGAAATGGAGCACAAAGTGGAGAAAGAAGAGATAGTAACGAGAAAGGCAGGATGAGGACGAGGACGAGGACGAGTACGAGGACGAGGACGAGGACGAGGACGGGGACGAGGACGGGGACGAGGACGAGGACGAGGACGAGGATGAGGACAAGGACAAGGACAAGGACGAGGACGAGAAGCTTTCTTGCCTCAGTGCCTGTGCCTGTGAAGTCGAAGTGAGCCGAGCGATTGTTGATGTCAATCTCCACGTTGAGAACAATCGGAGTCCCGTCGTCCATCGCATCCTCAGCATGCAGCCGCACCAGCTGCTTCTCCTTCACCTCCCCGTCCACGTTCCTCTTCCCCGAGGAGGAGGAGGAGGAGATGCGAGCCTGAGCTGTCTCTTTGAGCATGTCACGGACTGCAAGCTCAGCGTTGGACTGGATGTGATGCATGTAGGAGAGGACAAGGTCAAGGCCGAACTCGGCTATGAGCTCATTGAGCAGGAGGACTCCCTTCTGGTTGGCTGCGACCTGAAGTGGAGGAAGAGGAGGAGATAGGAGGAGGCAGTAGTGAGAAAGAGAGGAGAAAGCAGAGCAGAGCAGATGGGGAGGAAGAGGTAGGGAAGAGAAAGGCGAGAGAAGAACAATTAAAGTCAGCAAGCAACAGACCAAGATCCTGAGTTAGGAAGACAGACAAGTAAGGAAAAGCGAGGGCGAGCAGGTCTAGGAGAGCACAGCACAGCACAGCACAGCACAGCACAGCACAGCACAGCACAGCACAGCACAGCACAGCACAGCACAGCACAGCACAGCACAGCACAGCACAGCACAGCACAGCACAGCACAGCACTAGTCACCTGAGCTCGCAGGTCTGACAAGTTGTCCCTGAGCTTTCTCGACCCCGCACATCCCGGATGCTTTGCTGGGCTGTTGAGGAGCTCCACCACTCCCTCCTCCTGCCAGGCTCCCTTCCTCACCAGCTTGAAAGTCTCGCAGCACATCCCCTCCTCGAAGAGAAACCTCGAGTGCGGAGGCATCGACCCTGCGAGAGCGTCAAGAACGTCAAGAAGGAGGGGAAGGAGGGAGAAGAAAGCATGAAGAGCAGAACGAGCAGCACGAGCACAGGAGCGGTATCAACAGCTTCAAGTGAAAGAAAAGGGGCAGCAGCAGCAGCAGCAGCAGCAGCAGCAGCAGCAGCAGCAGCAGCAGCAGCAGCAGCAGCAGCAGCAGCAGCCATGACCTACCAGGAGCGATGCCTCCGATATCTGCATGGTGACCTCTGGAGGCGAGGAAGAAGACTGGAGAGGAGCGACCAAGAAAGACAGGAGTGATGACAGTAATGTCAGGTAAGTGCGTTCCTCCCGCACAAGGATGGTTGGTCATTAGAACGTCTCCCTCCTCTAGATCCTCCTGCCACTTGGAGACCTGATACCTGTCCCAGTGATGAGAAGAGCAGTGGGGGTTGATGAAACTTTTGTTTTTGTCGTCATCATCATCATTTTCATCGTTGTCACCCCAACCACGACCACCATCGTTTAAATCATTATCATCATCATCACCACCACCACCACCACGAATACCATCACCATCACCATCACCATCACCATCACCATCACCATCATCACCATCACCATCATCACCATCATCATCATCATCATCATCATCATCATCATCATCATCAGCAGCAGCAGCAGCAGCAGCAGCAGCAGCAGCAGCAGCAGCAGCAGCAGCAGCAGCAGCAGCAGCAGCAGCAGCTCCTTTTCCTCTGCCTCACCTAACAGCATCCTGCATCGACCCAAGGTGCACTGGAATATGAGGGGCATTAGCCACTAGCCCTCCCTGCTCATCGAACAGCGCGCAGGAGAAGTCGAGTCGCTCCTTGATGTTCGTGCTCATCGACGTTCGCTGCAGCGTCCGACCCATCTGCTCTGCGATTGACATGAACCGATGGGAGAAAATAGACAGCAATATCAAGTCCAGCTCTTCCGAGCGCTGCTTCACTTCCTCCTTCCCCACCGTGATCCTGACGTCCTTGTCCCTTGTCAGCTCGGCCTCGCACCCTGGTTCCACCAGGAGGGTCGAAATGTCGTCGAGGAGGATCGCAGGGCCTGTTACCCTCCTCCTCCTCCTCAACTTGTCCAGGAGGAACACTGGGGTGTCCTGCCTCCCTCCCTCGAAGTACACGGAGACTACCTGCTCTGCGTCCTCTGTCGACAGCTTCAGACACTCCTCGTCCTCCTCCATGCTCCCTCCCTCCTCCTCCTCGCCCGAGGAGGCTTCTGCTCGGACCCTAATGTCGTCCACCAAGATCTTCCTGCCTTCCAGCAAGAAGCCGAACTCGCGCTTGTAGGAGGAGAGGAACCGTGCGCTGAAAGCTGCGATGTCCTCCTTCTCAATCTTCTTCCTCCTCTCCTCCTTGTCCAGCAGCGCTGTCATCACAGCACAGTCCGTTCCCTCGTAGCGGAGGTTGAGGAAGAGGTTTCGTCTGATGCTCTCCCTGCCATGCCCCTCCTTCACAAGCTTCTCCTCCGCCTCCTCCTGCAGCCTGTTTAACGTCCCTGCCAGCTCCTGATACTGATCAGCTTCCAGCACGCATGAGCACGGCTCCTGCACATAGAGTGAGACAAGATGACTGGCGCCTCCTGCAAGTGCAAATCCTCGTGTCCTCCCCTCCCCTCCCTCTGCTCTGCTCTTCTCTCCTCCCCTCTCCTCTCCTCTCCTCTCCTCTCCTCCATTCACCTGAACTTCCTCGACAACCTTGGCCAAGAATAATCCGTACGCAGACAAGATCGAGGCATACCTGACGACTCAAGCTCACTCCTTTGTACCTCAATACCTCCTCCTTACAACTTCTGCTCCTTCTTACTCTCCCCTTATCCCTTCTCTTTCTCGCCCTCCTCCTCCTCCTCCCCATCTCCCTCTTCTCTCGTCGTTCACGACCACAACCTGCTCCTGCTCCTGCTCCTGCTCCTGCTCCTGCTCCTGCTCCTGCTCCTGCTCCTGCTCCTGCTCCTGCTCCTGCTCCTGCTCCTGCTCCTGCTCCTGCTTCACCTGTGGATGAAAATCGTTCCGATCCCCAGGCTCCGTGCGATGGCGCATGCATGCTGCCCGCCTGCTCCTCCGAAGCAGGCCAGCACGTGGGAGCGAATGTCGAACCCTCGTGCTGACGTCAGCGCGCGGATGGGACGGCACATAGCTTCGTTGGCGACCTAACGATGAGTTCAGAGCAGGAAGGGGGGAGGGGGAGGGAGGGAGGGAGGGAGGGGCGGGAGAGAGACAGAGACAGAGAGGCGCAGGCAGGCAGAGGAGGGTGCGAAGATAGGAGGAAGGGAAAGAAGAGAGGAAAGGAAGAGGCGATTAGGGCAGGGACGGCAGGAGGAGGACAGGAACCTTGATGAAACCGAAGGCTACTTCATCGGTAGTGAGCTCTTTGTCTGCTCCTTCTTTCTTCATGAACCCGTTGATCTAGAGCTCCCGTCAGAACAAGTCGCTATCCTCCCCTTCCTCCTTCACTCTCTCCTGTTCCTTATCCCACTTCCTCCCCATATCCACGTCCTATTCTCTTCTTGACCCTTCCCTTCCACTTTCTTCTCACTTCCTCCCTACATCAACACCAAATTTCCCTTCCCCTCCCCCCATCCTCTTCCTCCAACCCTAAACCCTCTTTCAGCAACTTCTCCTCTTACCTCTTCCGTCAGCCGTCTGAACCCGTTCCTCGTCGCCTCCACGTCCAACGGCTCGTCCTCCTTGGGCCCGAAGATCTTAGGGAATCTCTCCCACAAAATCCTTCCCAGCTCCAGGTTCGCGTCGGTCACTGACAGGGGGCCTCCTCGTCGGTAGCAGCTGGGCCCGGGGAACGCGGAGGAAGACTCCGGGCCCACCTTGAACATCCCTGACTCAAACCGCAGGCACGACCCTCCCCCAGCTGCGACCGTGCTGATATCCAGCTGCGGGGCCTGAATGGTGACCCCGGCTGTCGTTGTCTCGAAGACGTGCTCTAGATGCCCGTCGAATCTTGACACGTCCGTTGAAGTTCCTCCCATGTCAAACCCGATCACTGGCCTCTTCCCGCACGCCTGCAACGTGCGGCTCAATCCTCCTGCCCTCCCCTTTCCCTCCCTATCCCCCCGTTCCCTCACCCTGGCAGTATCCTGCTACCTTGACCCATCCTGGTCTACTTGCTGCCTCTTCCATTTCTACCTGCTTCCCTCTATTCCTCCTCATTGTAATCGTCTCAGTCGTCCAAACCTCTCTGTACCTCATCCTCCTTCTGTATCCCCGTCCTCACCAACAACCTTCCGATCACCTGTACGTCCTTTTCCTATCCTTCAGCTCTCCTTTCTCTCCTTTCTCTTTCTTTCTGTTCTCATTTCCTTCAATTCCTGCTTTCCCTCTGCTCTCTCCCTCCTTTCTCTCCTCGTCCCCGCCCTCTCATCCTCTCCGTTACCTCATAGCAGGTCTTGGCATACCCCACCACTCCTCCAGCTGGTCCAGACAGGATCGCGCGGAACCCGTTGAACTTCTCTACGGGAGACAGTCCTCCATCGGACTGCAAGAGCAAGCACATGCGTCAACACCGGTCAGGAGACACGAAGGGATCAAGCAAGAGCGGAAACGGTAGCGGGGGTAGGAGCGGGAGCAAGAGCAGCAGATCAGGAGAAGGAGGAGGAGGAGGAGGAGCAGGAGCAGGAGGAGCATCAGGGAGCCGGACAACCTGCATGAAGAGGAGCTCAAGGTCCTTGAGACCTTCATCAAAACCGGCTTTGAAGGTCGACAAGTAACGCTGCCAGAAGAGTCAGACGAGGAATACATAACAACAGCCTTCCTTGTCACTGTCCCCTCCCCTTCAGCCCTCTCCTCTTGACCCTCTGTGTATGATCCTTTCCTCCTTTTCTTCTCTCATTCCTCCTTCTCGTCGTTCACCATGAACATCATATGCACCATATTCCATCACCACCACCATCAACATCAACATCATCACCACCGCCACCATCATCACCACCACCACCATCATCACCACCATCAACATCAACATCAACATCAACATCAACATCAACATCATCGACATCACCATCTCGATCTCCATCATCACCTCCATGTTCATTTCCGTCCCCTCACCTGGATCGATGGCGTCAAATAGGCATCGGCACACGACGTGAATCCCCTTGGAACCGCCTTGACCATGGGCATGATCTCGGAGGAGAGCGACACTTGCGTGTACCCGATCTCCCTGCACAGCCTCCCCACCTCCTGCTCATGAGCAGGAAACGTGTAGGAATGCAGCAGCATCACTGCTGCCGCGCGGTATCCCATGTCAAACTTCTTCTTCAGGTCCTCCCGCAGCTTATCGGCATTGAGCTCCTCCACCACCTCCACCTCCTCCCCCGTCACTCCCCGCACGAGTCTGCCCTCCTTGATCGGAGCTGCTCCCTCCTGAGCAAGACAGACCCTCTCCTCCACCTCGATGACCTCCTCGTAGAGCACGTCAGGGCACTTGATCTCTAAGTCGAAGATGTTGGGCCTGCTCTGATTACCGATGAAGAGCAAGTCTTTGAACCCCTTCGTGATCAGCAGAACACAGGGGTCCCCCCTCCTCTCCAGCAGCGCGTTCGTCGCTACCGTGGTTCCCATGCGGATCGACGCGATCAGGGAGGTGTCGATGGGCTCTTGTCGAGCATGCAGCTTCCCTGTCACTTTCTCCAGAACCCTTCTGATCCCTTCACTCGGGGCGTCCTTGTAGGCTGGGTCCTTAGAGAGCAGCTTGAGGACATGGCAGGTCTCGCCGTCCTTGCAGAATACGTCTGTGAAAGTCCCTCCGCGATCGATACTGAAACGCAAGCGCCGCGACATGCCTTCAAGATCGTCAGCGACAGAGCTCGGCCAATCAAAAAAAAAGAGCTTCGCTGTGATAACGCAACGATCTTACTAGAGCACCAGCTAAGGAATCCCTCTCTTCTCTCCTACTGCCACTATCATATCCCTCACTGGTTTATCTCACATCCCCCGTTTGATGTTCCCGTCTCCTTCTCTCCAAGACATCTACATCCTTGTCCTCCTCCTCCTCCTCCTCCTCCTCCTCCTCCTCCTCCTCCTCCTCCTCCTTCCCCCCCCTCCCATCGTGAATTCTTTATACCTCCCCCCAGACCTCCCCCCAGACCTCCCGCAATGACCCAGATGGTCAGTGCGGGGAGGAGGGCACATTTTTGGCATTTCAAACTTGTGAATGCTTTTTAGATGAGAGAGGGAGGGGGCGGGGTGCGAGAAAGAGACAGAGCAGGAGCAAGTGGGAAGCGAAGGGGGGGGGGGATAACAGGGGAGAAGAGATGAGGAAGAAGGTGTGAAGACTCTAGGCAAAGAGCATTGAAATCTACTCTGCCCGAGACTCGAATGTTTGTTCGTGTTGAGAATTTCAGTTCTTGTTGACAGTGGAAGATTTTCTTCCGGTGAAGAGAGAAGGTTTATGACGATATGAAAGGGAGTGCTAACTTCAGCATGAAATTTCTTGTAATGGCGCGAAATATTGGCGCGCAATTTCAAAATTATCGGAAGAGAATCTCACTGTTGATGTGCTAGAAGCCTTTCAAAGCACTCTCCATGGACAACATATGAGGCTGATTTGATGAGCAGGAGGAGACAACATGCGAAATGCAACGATGTCCAAGGAGGTAACGTGGGTTTTGAGCTCATCCGATACCTCGGAGAGAACTGAAGGATGGAAAATTCAGCGACCCTTGGTGATTGCAGCAGGGGTTGCAGTAGCTGCATTCTTCCTCTGGCCGACTGTTTCTCCGTACCTCTATTCCTTAAGTAGTGCGCCTTCCAACAAGAAACGAAGAAACGAGGGGGGCGCCAAGAGTGCGCAGGGTGAGTACGACATCAAAGTACTCCTGAAACTCGACTCCCTCGAAGCCGGCAATGTGAGTCTCGGGCATCGACGAAGGTTCTGTCACTCACATGTGCTGCCTCAGGGCTGTGAGAAGCAGGTCTCCTTCAACGCCACCGTAGGATCCGAGCTTGTCCAGCGAACAGCAACTCTAAACATCCCAGCAGGGGTAATTGATGGGTATGAAATTCCACCTGAACCTGTCAAGTTGGACTGCGAAACTAAGAGATTCTGGCAGGCACGTCATCACGCTGAAAGGATGGGGAGGCTGCCACAAGCAGGGAGGAAACTGTGGCGACCTGTTGATTGAAATCTTGGTAGAGGGCGATGACGATTATGAGAAAGTATGATTCAATTATCTTAATAAGTTTTAGATTAGTGCGTTAGATTCACTTGAAAATTCACGCAATTTTCCACAGACAGCGTAGAGTGGCACGATGTTACTTCAGACAATCTTGGTTTTGCTGCAATGTCCACGTCACGCCCTACAGTTCCACAACTTGATCAACCACCTTCTTGTCTTCCTGGGACTGACAGACTTCTTCTTCGACTTGGACGTCTCGCTGGAACTTGAGGCCAACGACTGCTGGAAAAGTCAAGAAGCCTCGGCTACGGCATGGAATGATACCTGTCGTGATCGGGAAACGCTTCGCCGTGTGTTGGAGGGGGTGTTCTCCTTCTGGTCGGAAGCAGACTGTGGGAAGGTATTAGGAATGCACAATTTTTTCTAGCAGAATCTCACCTCCTGCCCCCGCGACGTGCTGCGTCCTCGGGATTTCTTCTCTGACTCAGGCTCCTACGGAATGGGAGCGATAAGAAAGGGTAGAACTTTAGTCTATTCGAACTTTACCTTCTTGACGTCAGCGCTCTTGGATTTGGAGGCAGGGCTCTATAAAAACACTTTGAGCAGGATCATGCAAAGTCCAAGTCATTGCCTTGAGGGAAGGCTCCTGCTCGTCATCTGTGCTGCTCCTTGACTTCCTTGAGGCAGTAGAAACTCTGCTCTTCCTGGCTCTGTTCACGTCCTCCGTCACCTTGCGGTCAGAAAGACTAAACTTCTCACTTCTCCGCCTTCGGCTTTGTTGGCGTCACCTGTGCCGGCATAGCCTCGAACTGATCCACGAGCTCCTGATGTTTCGAGCAGCACAGTTAGAAAGAAACAGGTCAAACCTCTTCCAATCTTACCTGGTCCAACTTTTCTGACAGGACCCAGGTATTCTCAGTGTGAGGATATCCCTTCATCAACTATCAGAGCTTGAACAACTTGATTAATCATCCATCATGCCTTCCACTTCACGAGGTAGAGCACTCTTCCATTCATGACATCTTTCTTCATGATGCCCTCGACCACGTACTTGAGAAAGGGTTAGGTGAGGCAAAGAGTTGAGCAACTCAGCTCTCTTGAGCTGCAGACCACCTGCTCTGTTTTAGGTGCAATGAATTCAGATTCGCGATATCGAGCCGGAATCCTGGTAACTCGTTTTGTGTGTGCAGGGAGGATGTTGTCGTGCTTCACTGCAAAGATTCTCACGACAACAACTGCATATCAATCATTTGTGTTACCTTCGGACAGTGCGTTTGCCGAGGACTTGGACGATTGTTTTTCGTTGCCATCATCTTGAAGGTACAGGAAGAGACAAAAATGGAGTAATACGAAAGTAGGAATGGCAAAGGTGGCAGGAATTGAACGAAGAACGCCCATGTGCTAAGTAAAATGGCAAGAAATGTGGCGCTCAGTGTGAGGAGGCTCGTCATTGTGGGAAAGGACAGAGGGGTTGAGGAGAAGGGAGGAGGCGACGTGAGAGGCTCAGCTTGTCCTGCTCGACAACTCCGCGGACAGGAGGGCGAGGGGAGCACAGGAGGCCCAACGGACCAAAAATCAAAACGGCGTGTGAATTCAAAAAAAACTGACTACTGCCCGCCGGGCCGACTCTTGGCAGAGTACAGTGATCGGACCGTCGCCGGCGCCGGGGGGCCCGGGGGGGGGGGGGGGG